ATTCCATGTTCCTCTGTGCAGGTAGGCCCACTTTGGACGACCCTGGCATGTCAGTATGTAAGAAGTGATTACCACCCCATGCACATGGTGCTGCTCGGGTGTGATCTTCAGCCTGGCATAAGCAGAACCCTTTGCCCATTCAGAACAAAATCTGTAATGTCAAGTATGAGACATTACTGGAAAAAAAAAAATCAGTTCAGGTTCTCTGAAATAATGAAATTGATAACTGAGATGATATTTTGTGAATACTTATTGTGTATCAGGCCCCATGGCAAACATTTTACGTATATTAACATATTTAATCCTTGTAACAATTCTACGAAGCAGGGATTTGTATTATCACAGTTTTTATACAGGAGGAAACTAAAATGAAAAACAATTATGGCGGATCCCTGGGTGGCGCAGTGGTTTGGCGCCTGCCTTTGGCCCAGGGCGTGATCCTGGAGACCCGGGATCGAATCCCACGTCGGGCTCCCGGTGCATGGAGCCTGCTTCTCCCTCTGCCTATGTCTCTGCCTCTCTCTCTCTCTCTCTCTCTGTGACTATCATAAATAAATAAAAAAAAAATTAAAAAAAAAAAAAAAAGAAAAACAATTATGGCAATTGCATAGGCTCTCCAACCTAATAAGTGACTGAGCAGAATTTGAACTCAGGCAGCCTGGATCTCCCAGAATCCAGGCCTTTGATTTTTTTGAAACAACTTTACATTTTGTTGCCAGTTTTTTGGCCCACCAGGCCGCTCACTACTGCCCTCCTAGGGGGCCCCCAGTATTTGAGTTAGTTGAGCAAAGGGTTGGAGGGTCCTGAGGGCTATGTCTGCCTTTCTCCCTGTGTCCCTAGACGCTGTTCTACCATTGACCTCTCTGAGGATGTATAGTTGTGATTCATAGGTGGGGAGGGGACTTCACCTGTTCCAGGTCACACAACTAGTGAGTGGCATGAGAGGAACTTGAACTTGGCTCTCTTGATTGAGAGAGAGCTTCATCCTTCAGATACACAAAGTTGAAGACAAAGTTTTATTTTTTAAGGTTGTGTTTTGTCTTTAATATTGGCTTAATATACTTCTTTAAATAAAATGTAGTGACTGCATTAGGCTTAACAAAATATGTGTTTAAGTGATCATAGTCCACCTTCAAGTGATATTGTACTACTCATGTACATTGAAGGAAATTCCCATTTCTTGTACTCTTGTTTTCATTCCTTTTTACACAAACTATAAACTCACAATAGGCTGCTACTAGCTTTGCTTTAGACAGTACACAAGAATACTTTAGAGGAATTATGCATGAGGAAGAAGAATGTCTTTTCTATTATTTAATGATTTCTGAAGAACTTCATTTCTTTATGTAGATCTAAGTTTCTGTCTGATTTCATTTCATTCTACCTGAAGAACTTTTTTCAGGCGCCTGGGTGGCTAAGTGTCTGCCTTTGGCTCAGGTCATGATCTCGTCAGTTCTTGGGATCGAGCCTTGCATTGGACCCCCTGCTCAGTGGGAAGTCTGCTTTTCCTTTTCCCTCTGCCTCTCCCCTCCTGCTTGTGTGTGTGCACGCGCTCTCTCTCTCTCTCTCTCTCTCTCTCTCTCTCTCTCTCAAATAAATAAACAAACAAACAAACAAACAAATAAAAGTCTTTAAGGGGGGGCACCTGGGTGACTTAGTGCTTGGGCATCTGCCTTTGGCTCAGGTCATGATCCCGGGGTCCTGGGATTGAGTCCCTCCTCAGGGGCCCCGCAGGGAGCCTGCTTCTCCCTTTACCTATGTTTCTGCCTTTCTCTCTGTGTCTCTCATGAATAAATAAATAAAATCTTTAAAAAAGAAAAAAAAAACTTTAACATTCCTTGTAACTCAGATTCATGGTAAGGAATCCTCTTAGCTTTTGTTTGTCTGAAAAAGTTTTATTTCTGCTGCATTTTTGAGAGATACAGAATTTGAGGTTGACTTTTTTTTTTTTCTTTTTTCCTCTTCTTTTTTTTTATTTTTTTATTTTTTATTTAAGTCATCTTTACACCCTATGTTGGGCTCAAACTCCCAAGCCTGAGATTAGGAGTTGCATGCTTTTCTGACTGAGCCAGCCAGGCATGCCTGGATTGACTTTCTTCCTTTCTTTCAGCATCTTATTTTATTTTTAAAGATTGTTTATTTATTTATTCATGAGAGATACAGAGAGAGAGGCAAAGACATAGGCAGAGGGAGAAGCAGGCTCCATGCAGGAAGCCACATGTGGGACTTGATCCTGGGACTCCAGGATCACGCCCTGAGCAAAGGCAGACGCTCAACCATTGAGCCACTCAGGTGTCCTATCTTTCAGCATTTTAAAGATGTTATCTGACTTGCATGGTTTCTGATGAGAAGTATGCTATAATTCTTAACTTTGTTCCTCTATATATCATGTGCCTTTCTCTGCTTTTGAGATTAACTCTCTGTCTTTGGTTTTCAGCAGTTCGAATATGAGACCTCTGAGTGTGGTTTATTGTTGATGTTTTGTTTGTTTTTTAAATATGTGTGGAGGAGTCTTTGCCCTGCTTGATGTTCTCTGCCCTGCAGGAGTCTTTGCCCTGCTTGGTTTTAAATATGAATGGAGGAGTCTTTGCCCTGCTTGATGTTCTTAGCAATTTGATGTTTTTTTCATTATTTTTGGAAAATTTTCAGTCATTATGGATGTGTGTCCATCTCATTTCCCTCTGGGATTCTAATTAGTATGTTGGATCATTTGGGTGCTCTTGGGTACACTGTCTGATTTTCCCCCCATTCTTCTTTCCGTTTGGATGATTCCTACTGACCTATCTTCAAGTTTTGGTTATTTCTCCCTCCACTGTGTCAAGTATGCTGAGAAACTTGACAAAGGCATTCTTTGTGTCTGCTATTGTGTCTTTTATTTCATAGTTCCATCTCACTTCCCAGATTCCCCCTCTGTTCATGCATGTGTCCACCTTTTCTACTAGAGCCTTTAACATACTAATCACATTTATAAATTGCATCAATCTTAGTGTATTTATTTTAGTAATCTCTACACCCAATGTGGGGTTTGAACCCACAACCCCAAAATCAAGTCACATGCTCTTGCAACTGAGCCAGCCAGGTGCCTCTAATCTTACTTATTTAAAATTTTTCCCATCAGGTAGGTCCAACATCTAGGTCATCTCTGAGTCTAGTTCTGTTGATTATTTTCTCTCTTCCCAATGTTCTTTGTGTGAGTGTGTGCCTCATTTTTATATTGAATATCAGATATTATGTATAGGACAGAAGAAACTAAGTCCTTTTTATGCCTAGAATGGGCTTCTTTCTCCTGTTTCTAGGCTGTTAGGAGGGGGAGTTAGGCTAGTAAGAAGTTGAGGTGGGGTTGGGTTTTGTTGTTGCCATGGTTACCTTCAGTGCATCACTGGCTTCCAGTTCCTGTGATCTTACCTTCTTATGCTTATAGCAGGACTGATTTGCCAGAATATTTTCTCTTTTCTTTCTTTTTTTTTTTTTATTTTTTATTTTTTTATTTTTTATTTTATTTTTAATGTTTTTTTTTTTAATTTATTTATTTATGATAGTCACAGAGAGAGAGAGAGAGAGAGGCAGAGACATAGGCAGAGGGAGAAGCAGGCTCCATGCACCGGGAGCCCGACGTGGGATTCGATCCCGGGTCTCCAGGATCGCGCCCTGAGCCAAAGGCAGGCGCCAAACCGCTGCGCCACCCAGGGACCCCTCTTTTTTTTTTTTTTTTTTTAAGATTTTATTTATTTATTCACGAGAGACAGAGAGAGGCAGAGACATAGGCAGAGGGAGAAGCAGGCTCCCTCCGGGGGAGCCTGATGCAGGACTCAATCCTAGGACCCCAGGATCACAACCTGAGCCAAAGGTAGACTCTCAACCACTGAGCCACCCAGGAGCCCCTGCCAAAACATTTTCTCAGTGTTCCATTCCCACCTTCAGCCTTAGGCCTTTTGTGTACACCTCAGGGAGGGTTTCTCTGCATGTTCTTGCCCCCTTTCCTGTGGTAGACTGCTTTGCGTGTTACTCGTGCTTGCTAGCCTGGGGTAAGAGCAGGGCTGGTTCTCTGTTGTCTCTGTCCAGCCTCAGACTTAGCCAGATGTGCCCCTGCATCTCAGGAGTGGGGCTTTTCTTCCCCGAGGGTGAGGGGCAGGAGACTGCAAGTGTCAGGGCCCTGAATGGTTTCTAGCCCCTCCCACAGGAGGTGTTTCTTTTCCCTTCTCAAAGCTGCAGTGGGTCTTCACCTGTACCTGGGAGGCAACAAGATTCAGGCTCTCTCCCCAGCTGGCTTAAGGCTTTTGTTCCTTAGGGCCAAAAGGTCCCCGCATTTCCTGCCTTTCCTATAGCTTCAAACATGCCTCCTCTCCAGGCCTTCACCACCAGGAGGGTTTCCTTCAGTCCCTCTTCCTGCGTTGCCCCTGATCTTTCTCATGAGCACCGGTGGAGGTCTGAGGAGAGGAGCTAACATGTGGGTAGCAAGTTTCCCGGTATCTACATCTCCCAGGGATCTCTGCTTTCCCTCTAGAACAGCACTTGGCCTATAACGACTGGATAAAAATGTCTGTAGGATGCTTACCTGCTTCAGTTGTTGATGCTATTGTGTCTATGTGATAGAAACACTATAGAATAGTGTACTATTGTGCATCTTTTTCTAGCTCCACATTCAGCAACATCATGTTGGCTGGTAGCCTGAAATTGGCGTGGCGGGAGTATTTACACCACAGAAATTCATAAATACTACAAACGTGGGCTTCCCTCCTACCCCGAGAGCCAGTTGTTAACCATTTACCAGAACACTACCATTTGGGAAAACCATACAAGGTTGACCTTGGAGATTGGTGCCTTTGGTGAGTGGCTCAGTGGCCTCCGGGACTGGTCAGGCTCAGCAGGATCACAGTGGCTGTGCTCAAGCCATCTCCTCTGCAGGGCAGTCACCAGGACACTCACCCTGGGGAGGCCCCTCCATGTTGGAGCTGGTGTAGATTCATGCTGCTACTCTCTCTCCCTCCTTTTCCCCTCAGAGCGCAGCCAGGACAGCACGGCCGTGGCGCTCTCAGACTCCAGCTCGACACAGGACTTCTTTAATGAGCCCGCCAGCTCATTGGAGGGCTCCCGAAAGCTCTACGTGGAGAAGAAGCTGCCTGTTCCCAATTACCAAGCAGGATCAACTGGTAAAGACCTTCAGGGGGCCACAGAGGAAAGAGGTATGAAGGTCTAGGTTGGTGCGTTAGAACTGCTTTGGTGACCCATGGCAGTCTGGGCAGTCTGAAGAACATGGGCTCCTGAGCAGCCCAGGGCTGGCCTGGCTCCTGTCCTTGCACCTCTACCTGCTGCTTTGGGACCTCAGTTGGGCAAGTTACACACTTCTCTCGCCCTCTGTGCTCCCTGTAGGGTGGGAGCCATCCGATGGCCCACTCCGAGGGTTGTGAGGATGAAACAGGGTGGCTCAGAAAGGTGCTCGCACAGTGCCTGGAGTGCAGTGTGCACTCACTGACACTTGTTGTTGTTATGATCCCCGCAGCCCAGTGTGGGAAAGCCACGTCCATAACGTGAGTGCCCATGTTTTTTTTTTTCTTGCTACATAGTTATTAAAAAAGTCTTTGAATCCTAAATGTCACCAATGTGTTTTTTTTTTTAAAGTCTGAATCACATTAGGCCTTTAGGAAAAAGTGCCCCCCTTTTTGGGGCAGGGGGCCCTGATCTAACTCTGGGGCATGCCCAGATCTCCTGGGGCCTTCAAGGCCCCCCTTTGTGGAAGGCAGTGGGCAGGGACTCCTGGGTAGCTCAGTGGTTTAGTGTCTGCCTTTGGCTCAGGGTGTGATCCCAGTTCGGGGATTGAGTCCCATATCGGGCTCCCTGTGAGGAGCCTGCTTCTCCCTCTGCCTGTGTCTCTGCCTCTCTCTGTGTCTCTCATGAATAAATAAATAAAATCTAAAAATAATTAATTAATTAATTAATTAATTAATTAAAGGCTTCTTCTTTAGAAAGAAAGAAAGAAAAAGAAAGAAAGAAAGAAAGAAAGAAAGAAAGAAAGAAAGAAAGAAAGAAAGAAACCAGTGAGCAGAGCCCCACACCCAGCTCGCAGGAGAGCACTGGCAGGCTGTGTGTCCACAGTACCACTCAGGCTGTGGCTGGATGGCCAGCTAAGGGTTCTGAGAGCTTTCCCACCCTGGCCAGGGCTTGCCAAACAATAACAACAACTCAGACCATGCTCAGTGACCAGTGACCCTGTACCAGGCACTGTTTGAACTCCTTTTGTCTTCCTAACTACCCTAGGAAACAGCCCTGTGTCTCTTCCCGCATTATAGATGAGGAACCTAAGATTCAGAGAGGGTCAGGAATTTGCCTAGGGTTAGTCTGCACCCTTAATCTCTGCCCCATGCTCCCTCTCTAAGTGGGCTAGAAGGAGCAGCTGGGGTTGGTGAAGACCTCCCCTAGGATGTGTCCACACAAGCTCTCCCACACAGGGAGAGTTGAAGCTCAGGGACTCATGTGTAGATGTGGCCAGAGCCCTTCATGCTGGGAATGGCCTGTCCCAACTCTCTGCTCCTCGCCAGCCTCCCATAGCTGGCCTTAGCAGCTGGTGAGGCTGCATGCCATGTAGGTTGGCAAAGATGCCCTTATTAGGGTCAGGGAAGGTGAGGCTAGTGCTGCACTTTCTCACTAGGCACTTTTTATGCTATCCCAAAACGATGTTGGGTTTTGAGATAGCATAAACTGGGTATCTACAACTGACATAAACATACTGTAGGAAGTTTGGAAGGGGAAGGAAAAAGTAACCTATAGTCCCAACGCTCTAATACAGCAATTTTTGTTCATGTCCAGTCTTACAAATAAGATTATTTTAGCTATTGGACAGGTGAGGCCTGTCATCTCTGCTCCGTGGCCTGTTAAGCAGTGGACTGTTGTGGGTATTGTTGTGTCATCATGGGCCTCTCTTTACCGTGCTTGGGGAAGTGGGGGATGTAGGCTGGGGTGCTGAGCTAAGAGAGTGTCAGCTGTGGTCTGCCCCAAGCTGGGCTTTCCAGACACATGAGGGGCATCCCACCCCTTCCCTCCTTCCATTCAGAGTCAGTGGTTTAAGCAGACATTGTGGGGGCTTGCCACTGGTAAAGAAAATTTGAGTAGAACCAGAGTCACTCCAGTAGCTGGTAGACTTGAAGGGAAGCATCCTGCTTCTGTGGATGCATCTCTTCATTCTAAGCCCAGCTTTTCCTCGTAACTACCGTGAAGTTGGTGAGCTTCCTAGGAGAGTAGATGTAGCAGAGCATGTGTTCTGAGCCCTCGCTAGGCAGACTGCATAGCGAGTAGTGTGCTCCTCCAGGCCTGGCTCTGGTCAGTGGCAGTCTCTGACACATGCTCCTCTAGGCTCCCAGTGGGCAGGAACCCTGGCTACTGGCACTCCGGCAGCTTTCGGCTCCCTGCAAAAAGCCAGGATATGGTTCTGGGCCAGGGCTGGGTGTGTGCCCCTAAGTGTGCTCCACACCCCAGCCCTTTTCAGGTGCACCTTCTTGGATGGCCCTGTCACCAGTGTGCTGCTTCTGTCACGGTCAGTGTCATAGGGATCCCTCACAAATTTCATGTGCATTGTTGAGCAATGAAACCCAAGTCTGTGCCAGGCCCTGGGTGCCAAAGGGAAGCAAGAATGGCTCTGGGAGCCACACCCTGCCTGATGTCCAGGTGCCCTCCCTCCTATGGTGTCCAATGGGTACTGGCTCCTGAGAACTCCCCTCCCCTCTTTACTTCTCCATTGTGGTTTGTGACAAGGTGCTTCCAGGAAGAAGGTTTCTCCACAGGTGGCTGTTAGAGCTAGTTGAAGCTCACCTTCTTAAGGGTCAGAATTAAAAAAAAAAAAATGTATAGCCTGAATGTAGTAACAGTAAAGGTTTATTTTTTAAATAGAGGAAAAGCTGCTCAAATTTCACCACCTAAATACAAGGTGCTCTGTTATATCACTCCAAGGGCAGCAGAGTTTGTCAATAGCCTATGTGGTCTAGACCGTGGCCACGGGTGCCTGGCCTGGGCCCAGGCCCTCCCTGCCACCTGGGCCCAGGGCACGATGTGGGCTGGGGATGCTGATGCAGCTACCAGGCAGAGACCGCCATCCCATGGTACACCTGCCCCTTTTTGATCAAGTAGATGACCCTACCTGAGCACCTCACATAAGCCAGTTCTCATTGCCAGCAGCAAGCAACAGGGTGGTGAGAGCATTTGCTTTGCTTGCTTTTCATCTATAGGAGGAAGTCTTCTCACTTTCACACTGCCAGGGTTAGGATTGGGCCTCCTGGCTGGAAAGTGCTGTGTGGGCTTGTTGACGCTTCTGACCCCCTTCCTTCCACTGATGTGACCTGTGAGGCTCATTCAGCCATGATAGTGGATGCTGTGGGTGAGGCGTGTTGCCCATGTCTCCTGGGCCTTTTCAGTAGGCTTTTCACTCATTCTGGCATCACTCTTTCTCTCTCTCTCTCTCTCTCTCTCTCTCTCTCTCTCTCTCTGTGTGTGTGTGTGTGTGTGTGTGTCTTCAGACACATCTGAGCTCTCTTTGGATTAATTCTTGATACTCTGCTTACTTTCCATAAGAAACATGTTCCCATGTTATCTTTGTATGTGAGCACACACTTAGCCTGAAGCACTGGGAGGCCTTCATCTGCATCCTGTTTCCCTGCCTCTTGTGTGCCTAGCACAGCACTGGACCCAGAGTTGTCCAGGATGTATTTGTTGAGTCACGTTTGAAATGTGTCTCTTGAATCAAACACTAGAAATCAGGTACATTTGTGAGTAAGGCGTTAGTGACCCTTGTAAGACACCAGCCCTGAGCAGACTCCTGGTTGCTGTCACTGAGCTCTGAGTGGATGCCTGTGCTCTCCTTTCAGGGGAGCATGGTGTCAAGATCAGATGTGACCTGTTTTTCAGTCATTCAGTCAGCTTCAAGCTAGACAGTGTGAGGCTCTGGGGAGGCATCTTTGCATAAGTACAGTGGGATGGGTGATATCAGAGACGTGGGCACACAAGACTCTGCAAACCCCACCTTGGGGCCAGGGAGGCCTGCAGGAGGAGGTAACACTGAGGTGACACTGAGTGGAGTCCTGAAGAATGAGAGTGAGTGGGGGAGGCAAGGGAGAGAGTGCAGACTGTGTCCAGAAGGAGCAGCAGTGAAGAGGTAGGAATGAAGAATGAGGTGTTCCCAGTGGTTGGTCTCAAGGTGTGAGGCCAGGAGGGGAGCTAGGAGGAATGGCAGGACCGGTGGGAGGTGGCCTCAAGTGCTGTGCTGAGCAGCTTGGCTCTGTCTTGCTCAGATTCTTTCCTTGGCTGGAAGAGCTTAATGTGTACTTGATGCCTGCATGATTTTGCTTTGGGGAACTTGGGACTTTAGTCCTCAGCCCCTCTGCCCTGCCGCAGCAGGCTCCAGCCTTCTCCCAGCTGCCACTGTAGTTGCAGTGGAAAGGGTCATTAGGTTGGGGGCAGGAAGGGGCTCAGCTCACCGTGGCAGACAGGCTTCAGAGTTGGTGCTGGGCTGCTTCTCTGGCCTCCTCCATGCAGGCCTTGCCAAACTCCTGGGTGCCCAAGAGGCTACCTTACCCTTGAGGCTTCCCTCCACCCTCTTCCTTCCATCCCTCCTTCCTGGTCCAGTCATCTTCTGTAGCCCCTGCAACCCAGCTTGGGCTCTCCTATGTGTGAGCTCTTGGTTCATGCACAGTGGCAGCAGCAGCCTTGGAGAAGGATGTCAGGTAGGCTATGGGCTGAGGTGCTAAGTGGTAGATCAGGAGCAGTCCTTTGTGTCCTTTCCTGGCTGTTTTATTCCATGGTGGTGGTGGCCATACCCTCCCTCTGTGGATTGCCTCCCCGTGCACCTGCACAGGCCTGGGAGGCAGGACAATCTTATGCTGCCATCCAGAGGGGGCCCCAGAGTCCCGTTCACAATCCCCACTATCTGCAGCCTCGTGGCCCCTCTGCTGTGTGCCAGCTGGGACATCCTGCTTCACAGGGGAGGAGACTGGGAGGTTGTAGAGGCCTCAGCCAGCAGGGGCATGCCTCCTGCTGCTGGGTCTGTTGAGCTCAGCACCTGTCTACCAAGGTCACAGACCTAGCTATGCCTGTCACCTCACTAAGACACCTCTTTTGCCGGTGGTGGACCACTACTGAGGTGACTTTCTTTTTCTTTTCACTCACAGGAAAAACTGAGGAGTCCTTGGAGAGCACAGAAGGCTTCCGGGTCACAGAGCAAGGCAGCCAGAAGCCTGCTGCAGACCTCCCAACCTCTGCGTGCATTGCTGTCAAAACCCCAGCATCTGCACCTGCCCTGTGGGACGGGAGAAAGAGAGCTGATCCCCCCGCGGAGCCAGCAGCCTTTCCCCAGGGGCTGCCAGCCGGGGCAGAGGAGCAGCGCCAGTTCCTTACGGAGCAGTGCATCGCCTCCTTCCGCCTGTGCCTCAGCCGCTTCCCCCAGCACTATAAGAGCCTCTACCGACTGGCCTTCCTCTACACCTACAGCAAGACCCACCGGGTGAGTGAGCTGCCCGCCCACACGGGGCAGGAGAGAGGAGTGATCCTCCCAGGGCCCATGAGTGTCTGAGTGCTGGTGGACAGAACAAACCCAGCTGGCAATTGCTCAGGGTCTTGGGTAGTGGTGCATGGAAGGGATAGGGTAGGAGAGGTGTGGCGGGGGGGTGGGTTTGTAAAAGTGTGGTCCAGCTTTCCAGGTGAGAGTTGATGGGGACCATGGATCAGAGCAAGGAATCAAGGGAGGAGCTGGTATGGGGGCTGCTCCTGAAGCAGGATCTGAGGCTCAGGTACCGGCCGTGGGCTGAAGGATGAGGACCTGCTCTCTCAACAGCTCTTGTCTGTGAGGGCCGGTGGAGTGATACTTACTCCACTGACCGGCTCCCTCCCTGCTACTGTTTACCTGTCCTTAGTATGACTTTGCAGACACATCCCCCAAATGCCTTATAAAGCCCCCCCCCCCCACTCCTCTGTCCCAGGGCCTTGCTACAGGCTCAGTCCCCTCCAGACACATCTTACAGAGAGGCCTTCTCACCATCATCCTGCCCCTGGGCTTGCCCCTCCGTGCAGCTGCCATCTTCACAGCCTCTGTTACATGGGGGTTGGGGGCTGACAGCCTCCTCCAGCTCTTTTTGGAAAGCAGATGATGTAGCGATTCTTAACAGCTGTGCCCCAGGCTTAAGAGCTCTCAGGGGCTTCCCAGCCGGACTGCTTCTACTGGCATGTCGCATCTGTGCAGGGAGTGTGGCATGTGTGCTCTTCTACTCCCTCCTCACGCACCTGGGGGCACTGGAGAAAGTGCTCCTGGTCATGGCGCCTGCCCGCATGGAGCTACATTCTAAGCTACGTGCAAACAAGCAAATTAAGCTAATCCCATTTTGACACATGCTACAAAGAAGGTAATGGTGTACACACAGGAGTAGGTAGGGGTGCTGCTGCAGCACCATGAAGGCACCCATTAAGCTGAGACCTGTAGGGTGGCCTTGGGCACAATGGGAGTCAGCGGGCAGGTTGGACGACAGGGAGAGAGCCCAGATCAGGCAAATTGCCTGGGCATGTGGCAGTGCTGGGTAAGCCAAACTGGTGTGGGCCAAGGCCAGAGAGGGCCAGGGTGGTGGGGTTACCCAGGGACAGCCTTTGTAGTCTGGCTGTGGTCTCTGGTTTTGTCTGGCTCAGAAACTTTTTTCTCCCAGAGACCCCCCCACTGGCCCCTTGCCCCTCCTCACCAGCCTCTGTGGGACCTCTGAAAAACCAGGAAGGGCAGTTGGCTGGAGAGATGGAGCCTGGCTTGGTGCTGGTTACATGGCTGGAAGTTGTCACTTGACAAAATTCTGTTTGGGGACTAGGCACAGGTAGGTGCCCTGTCACAGTTGTGATTGCCCAACACACTCATGTGGCTTGGTTGATTTCTGTTGGAGCAGAACAGAGGAAGCTGGTGTCAGCAGGCCTCAAGAAGGAGGGGTCTGGTTCTGGGCTTTGTCTCTGCTTCAGGGCACCTGGCTCCTCTGGCTGCCACTGAACCGCCTGAGCCTGGTTCCCTCACTGCTCAGTTTTGCAGTGGACCTTACCTCTGGTGCCCTGGGCCTTCTGGACCCAGGCAGACCTGGGTTTTAAGAAAACTCCCCTCTGCAGCAGTCTCTGGGGACTCAGCCAACATTGCCCCTGCCCCTGACCATGCTCCCGCGCTGCTTTGGGAACTTTTCTTCTTCCCTCTTTTGAGAGCAGTGGAGGCCAATGCAGGAGCTTCCGTGAGTATTGGTTGGAAGGGAACATCCATCATCTGGATCTCCTCTCCCTACTTGGGCATCCCCCTTTTCTCATGCCCCACAAAGCAGCTGTGCAGCCCCTTCCAGCTGTGGTCAGCTCTTAGTAGGACTTGGAGCTTCCTGTGCTGAGCTCAAAACCTTCCTCACACTGTGGCAGGTCGTCTTCTCCAGAAGCAGATGCTGCGGCAGAACTTGGGGTACAAGATGCCTACTAGGGATCAGTCCCTGTGGAAAGGAGGTGAAGATGTGAGATTGGATGGAGGGAGAGCTGAGTTGCAATGCAGGCCCCAGAGCCCCAAGCCCCCAGCCCCGGCTTCATTAAATGGCCGTAATCTGAGCTCAAAGGAGCTGATGCATATAAAGGGTCCCACCTGGTGTGAAGCTTAGCCTGTCATTTTCACAACCTGTCCTCTTGCTGGATGAGTTTTTTAAAAGTGGGAAATATTATCTCCGTCAAAATTAAAAATTAGAAGATATCCACAGTTCTGGCACCCTAAAAAACTATTTTGTGTGTGTATTTGTTCTCAGCTCTCGTGCACACACGCTATTGACTGTCACTTCTGAGGTTCTAGATGGGGTCTTGTTCTCTCTCTACTGCACATCTGATACCTGGCTCAGGGCCACATACTGGGGGGTGACAGCCTGGCATCAGCTCAGGTAGCTAACATCACCCTGGCCCAGTTGCTCCACTGCTACCCCCCCCCCCCCCCCGCCCCACCATTAGGTCATCCATGCTCAGTTTGCTGTTTTGGTATTTCTGCGACTGTCCCCAGGTCTTATTGTTCACCCTCTAATGGTCTGAGGGGTGGGTGCCCCCCAGCTTATCCAGCCTTCCCTGGTCATGGGGACAGAGGCTGCCTTGGCTTCCTTCCTGGAAAACCTTCCCATAGCCATCACACTGTTTCTGCTGGCTTTTCTGTTAGCTGCATTCCCAGGTTGGGTTCCTTGGCTTTCTGAAATGGAATGCTGGTCTTGATTATGAGAGAGACCCCTCCTCTCTTACATGACAGTTGTGTGTAGATGCCAGATATGTCTCAGGAGCTCTCTAGGCTGCCACACCCTAAGCCTTGATGCACCCCGGGTGGCTCCACTGGCTCTTGCTTACTTGACTTAGAGACCTTTGCTGAGCAGCAGGTGTCACCCCAGCTTGAATGGCATGTTGTTGGCACCTCACTACACTGAGAGCTTGAATCAAGGCCATCCCTGTCTGGGGCATGCTGTTGTTTTGGGGGCTGGGCGTGGTTCTGCCCAGGCCCTGGGTTTCAGGGGGATCAGGGTATAGATCTAGGGGACATGACCAGTGCTTTCAGTGACTAATGTGGAACCATTAGCTGATAAGCAGCGACTGCTTTCCAAACACAGCTGTTTGGTAACAGATACTTCCCACTGAGTATATTTAACAGCAGCACATTTCTTCATGAAATCCGCCTGTGGGCTTGGCAGTGGCATTTTCCTGTTGCCATCTCATGGCTCAGTGGCCAACTGGTTGAAACATCCATCATCCCTGCCTTCAGAGAGGCCCCAGGGGCTCTGCAGGTTGACTCCAGATCCTTTGGGTCTTTTAAGCAGCCCCCAGCTGAAGCTCTGTTCTGTTCAGAGGCCTCCCCACCCCAGGCCTCTACAGAGAAACTATCCTCAGGACACAGGGAATCACTTGCTTTAGCTGTTGGCAGCAGGTTTTCTGGAGGAGGGAGAGGAAATGTGGGCTCTGAATGTGGGTTCATCTAGGTTCACATACCAGCTCTGGAGTGGGGAGGATTCTTCTCTTGTACTCGCACAGGATTATTGTGACAATGAGGTGAGGGGTTGGGGCCCTTCCCATTGGGCCTCTCATCAGGACCCCAGAGCCCATTTCCTCAGCATCTTCTATGGCTCCTAGACCCCTCTATTAGGCCTTCTGAGGGCTCGATCATTCCCTGAGGGACCTTTGATGCCTGCCTAAGGCCGCCCTCCTGCCCAAGCTGGCTTTGCTGTGCATAGGCTGACCCCCTGGGCCTCCCAAGGCAGGCCTCCTGCTAGCCTACACCAAGGGCCAGGGCACCTGAGGAAGCAGAGCTCCCTAATGCTCTCCGCACCTTAGGGAAGATCACACATGCTGATGGCCGTAAGGGCCTTAAGTCTAGCTATTATATCACTTACAGTTTCCAAGATTACAGTCTCCAGCAGGACTTTGAGCCCCAAACTGTCAGTCCATGCTCAGAAAAACCTGTCTCCTAGAGTCCACATGAGCACCCCAGGAGAGAGACTACATGGCATTGGGAGCTTCCATCGTGAGGCTTCTGAAATTCGCTAATGAGAGCCAGAAAGAAGGCTGAGGGATGGGCGCCCCATCCCAATTCCCCCCACCCACTCCCTGTGGCTCAGCTGGGAAACTGAGCCCCATGCTTCAGCATCTCTTGCTTTGAGGGATCTGGGACAGAGTGGGTTATAAGATGGTTCCTAGAGCCAAACAGTCTTGAAAAAGAACAAACTTGGAGAACTCATACTTCCCAATTTCAAAATTTACTGCAAATATACAGTAATCAAAACTGTGGAATATTATTCAGCCTTAAAAGGAAGGAAATTCTGGCATGTTATAACGTGGATGAACCTTGAGGACACTATGCTCTCACTGAAATAAGCCAGACACAAAAAAATCAAACACTCCATGACTCCACTTTAGATGAGGCATCTAAAGTAGTCAAAATCAGAGAGACAGAAAGTGGAATGGTGGTTGCCAGGGGCTGGGGGAAAGAATGGGGAGTTATTTAATTAGTACAGAATTTCAGTTTTTATAATAAAGTTCTAGTTGTACAACCATGTGAATATACTTAACACTACTGAACTATACAATTAAAAATGGGTAAGATGGTAAATTTTATGTGTTTTGAACCACAACTGAAAATAAACAGTGTAGTATTAGCCTAGGGATAGCTGTATGGATAATGGAATAGAACTGGAAGCCCAGAAACAAAGGCATACATCTATATGGTCAGCTGATTTTTTTTTAAGATTTTATTTTTATTTATTCATGAGAGACACACACACACACACACACACAGAGAGAGAGAGAGAGAGAGAGAGAGAGAGAGAGAGAGAGGCAGAAGCCAGAGACACAGGCAGAGGGAGAAGCAGGCTCCATGCAGGGAGCCTGACGTGGGACTTGATCCCGGGTCTCCAGGATCAGGTTCTGGGCTGAAGGCGGCGCTAAACCGCTGAGCCATCCAGGCTGCCCTGGTCAGCTGATTTTTGACAGGGG